CCTGTCACAGCAATCAGACGGAGCCGTGGTCAAGACCGAACGACATGTCTTACTTATAGTGTCAAGGCGGATGGGCTTGACGACCTGCTAATCACCACAGAAGACAAGCTGACTCAGTTCTCGCCGGCACGGCCCACTCGGCAGACGTTCTTGATTGTCCGCCCGTGGAATCGTCATGACCTTGGGCTGCCTGATTTTGCCGATGATGCGCAGAGCGTGGATGATTGGTCTGATCCCGAATCCCCGTCAGAGGAATCGATCAGTGGGTATTCTGAAGAAGATGAACAAGTTAATACAGAGTCTCACTCGCAAGCGTTGAAGTTGGTCGTTCGGCTTGGACAGCCTTTTGGCTTTTACTGGCGCAGCAGCGTGGTGGGGAGTACAAGAGGATTGCTTCGGATCACAACATCATCGCACGGGTCAAGGACATGGCTGCTATACATCACATGATGGACGTCAGGATTTTAGAGATATTGTAGCTGTATGAACGGGCCTAGTTCTTTGATACGTTTTCATTCACACTTTGACAGCACCTACATCGAATAATCCCTCTAGACATTTTGTATGGTATGCTGCCTTACAACAAACCACCCTGATTGTAGGATCTACTTGTGCATCCTCGAGATCACATCTATCTGAATATATCGTAGTAGGTATTGCATAAATGTCCCTCTGATATTTGGGACTTCAGGCAGGCTCTGCTTCATGGTTATCTGGAAACTGTCCGCATGGAATTTGAGGTTATGGGAACTTTGAACAGGATCCAGGTACATTCAGTGCCGAGGTTACCACGTTCGCAGCAGGCACACACCACTTCAGTACACACCGGACCGTTACATGCATGGTCGCCTTGTACTCGGTCGCCGCCCAGAACCTGTGGCCAATCTGTCACCTCGGTTGCAAAATCATGTGCCAGGCGGGTACGTGATTGATACTCCACCGCAAGTCCGCCTTTACAGCATACTCCGAGCATTGCACTGAAAACGTCAATGAAGTTCTCAGTATTCCGACTCACGTTTTGGCTTGCAAACAAGACCCCTGACCCCAGCAGCCACATGTGAGGATGCGGGCGCCTAGTCATCGCCCGTTAGCCATCTTTGATCTCGGTGCATATAGTGCCTTACAAATGATAATGATATCTGAATGCAGGAAGCGTGTATTACACCAAATAACAAGACGCATGTGAAGAATCAAGGGGTGTGACGAGCACCTAGCGGAGGCGGTAACATGAGTGGCAGTGATAACTAATGACTTTGCGCTGCAATTAGCACTGCAGCCGCGGTGTGGTAGGAAGCTAAAAATTGCTAGAACTTGGACAACTGCCTTCGAGTCGGGTTACATGAGCAGAAATACACCCACATATTATACACGCAAGGTAACCATATCCCGAAAAAAATCCTGCTTACCGTCTGTCTCCTCGTCTAGCCAACACGGCATGTCAACAGTGGTTGATGCAGCAAGAAATGTGTATCTGACTGTGAGAGGGCGAGCCGCAGCGGGGCGGACGATACGAGGGCACATGGGCGAAGTGAAGGCAGTTGCATTCTTCAGAGACAGTCGACGGGTCGTCACTTGTTCAGACGATACAACCTTGCGAATTTGGGACGTGCAGAAAGGAGTATTGGTAGGAAGGCCATTCGAAGGGACACAGGGACTGGGTGCGATCAGGCGCCGTATCCCCGGACGACAGGAGAATTGCCAGTGGGGGAAGGGACAAGAGGATCATCATCTGGGACGTCGAAAGCAAGCAGATGGTATTTGACCGCTGGTGAAGCATACACACTGGTAGAGTCTGTGTGTTTCTCCCCGATGGAAAGAGACTCGCCAGCGGGTCGCAAGATTGCACAGTTATTGTATGGAACGCTGATGCTGGTACGGTCATCACAACGCTGGACGGTCATCGTGGTTCGGTATGGAGCGTGGCGTTTAGCCCAGATGGCCTAAAATTAGCATCAGGATCATCGGACTGCACCATCCGAGTTTGGCAGGCGGCTAATGCCGAGATTCTTTTCGAGATTAACGCTCACAAAAATCCGGTTCGAAGCGTTGTGTGGTCGTCTGACGGCCAGCAACTTGTCTCTGCATCATATGGAACAGTCAAGTTCTGGAATTCGTCCAATGGAGGCCAAAATGGTTTAACTTGCACCGGTCATACTGACTGGGTACGCTCGCTCGCCATCTCTCCTGATAGCTCATTCATTGCCGCTGCCTCGGACGACAAGACTGTGCGGCTATGGGACACAAAGACCCACCAAAGCATAGGACAGGCGATTGAACACTCCGCCGGGCTTTTATGTGTTGCGATTTCTCCGGATGGAAAATGGCTCGTCAGTGGAGATAATCAAGGGAGGGTTTGGTTCTGGTCCTTGAAGAACATACTCAAGCAACACGAGGCAGAGAAGAGGTCGCAGGATGAGGTAGAGCAACTGAGGCGACCTCCTGATCGATCTTTTGTGAGCATTTATTCCCGCCTTTTCTCTCGGTGCGTCTGTGGAGTCTAACTCAACTTATCAGAGTACTCTGTCAAATTTAAGCGATTTTGTTCGCAGTGATATCCAGGTATGTCCTCACCAGTTACTATCCGTCCGCTTGTCCATTCACTCACATCGTTCGACGTTTAGCCTTTCAATGGCAGCAGCACAATCAATTCACAAACTCCCGAAGCCTCTAGCAGTAAATCTAGATATTCATTCGACGTGAGCTGTTTTGCTTTCGATACGTCTACTTGACACGAATATGACCATGATACACATAGTTCCTTGCTATAAACACGACGGCTCGCAATGCAGGATACTTTCATACATCTCAAGAGCTACTGATCCAAGAGATTGATGACGACGGAAACCATTCTGACTCCTACGCCAATCGCTCGATTGCGAAGGCACGAATTTTCGATTGGGATAATGCACTTCAGGACGCGGTCAAGGTAGGGCGCTGTGCATATCACGATTCGCTGAACACAGATTAACTTGTGACATAGTCCATTTCCATTCGACCCTCGTTAATGGGCTACATTTCCAAGGGCATTGCCCTATGCGGCAGCGAGCAGCTTTGGGATGCCATGGAAGCTTTGATCTCGCTTTCGTGTTTTCAAATCGTGATCCAATGACCAACGATCTTTTACTGTTAATCAAGGTATGTCACTCTCAGCACTGTCTTCAATAGTCTTTCATACTAAGAATTCAATCTCATCATGTTGTGCAGGCTGTTGCGCTTTTCAATGCTGGTCACCAAGACGAGGCAATGCGGCGAGTTCAAAACCTTGCCACCGTTTGTCAACAATTAGATACACTTCCTTGCAGGGTTGTCGATGTGAGCTTCGTATTAAATCTCACGAATTTTCTCGGTTTAACATAACCTCCCCAGTCATATCTACGTGTACAGCTTGCAATAATCGACTTCCATGATGGACGCTACAACGAAGCTGCTGATAAACTCACGGCCAGTATTGCCACTGTAACCAGATTGTTCTTGCACACAGCACATTTGGAACCTAGATTGAAGATATTCACATTAGTGCGTCCTTACAAAGTTGCAGAGGTCACTTCCACGAATTGATCATGTGCGCTGAATAGCTATTCGGCTGGGACTTGGAGTCGTTGTGGCGAACTGTCAATGAAAGACGGTGTGATGCGTTCCTCCACGCCGGTCGACTGATCGAAGCAGTCGAATCTCATCAATCCATGATAAGCATGATTGATGATATTGCGAAGGACAGTTTACTTGATTGGTCTACCGGTAATTATTTCAGGGTATCAGACAACCGATCATTGACACTCATAGTGGCGTCCATTAGCCTTCAAGCAAGACTGCATCGCACGCTGTATCGAAAAGGCACACGAGGCTGTTTCTGCGAGTAATTATGAGGTTGCTGTAAAAACTCTATTCGGCAGCGATCGCGCTAGATTCCTCAAACCACTCCCTCTTTGCATATCGCAGTCGGGCGAAGCTGGGACTAAACTTACATGCGGAAGCTCTTCATGACGCGGAAAAGGTGCGGATGATATCCATGACGTGTCAAGCAATTATGCTGATTGTGTCGATCCTTAGGTCATTGAATTCAATCCTTCGTCATATATTGGGTACGAATTAAAGCATGCAGCACTTCACGAAGCACAACGCTATGATGAAGCAGTCATGGCCTTCAAAATCATGCTCTTTAAGTTGGAGGACGCATCTGACCCGCAGATAAAAAGTAAGTACTAAATATTTGGTATCGACGTGAAAATTAAGTCTTTCCCTAGAGCTGCGCCAACAGTATGGCAATCCAACTGAAGTCGAAGATGCTATTAAAAGGACTGTTCAATCTTACCTGGACAGCAGTACCCCACTTCGTCTAGTCACACTTCCACTGGGCGTTTATGTGATCGACAGACACAGACAAATTCCTTCAGACGAGCACGAATACAAAGAGCTTTTGTCTTCATCGATAAAGCGTCCGCGACTTCAAACTGAGTCCATCGAAAAAGTAGTGGAGAAGTACTTCCGTTGGGTCATGCTATCACACAGGTGGGAGAACGAGGAGCCCCTGTTACACGACATTGAGGACAAGGTCGTGTATGATTTGGATTCAGTCGGGACCATGGTGAAATTGCAGACATTCTGCAAGATTACTCGTGATAAGGGGTATCTTTGGGCCTGGAGCGATACGTGTTGCATCGACCAGCATAACAATTCCGAGGTCCAGCGATCCGTCAACTCCATGTTTGTCTGGTATCGCAACTCGGCCCTTACGATCGTCTACTTGTCGGATGTCCCGCCCTTGTCGAAGTCCGGCGCGCTTGCAGACAGCGCCTGGAACATGCGAGGATGGACTGTTCAGGAGTTCCTCGCTCCTAACGTCGTTCTCTTCTACCAAGCAGATTGGACTTTATATCTCAAAGACCGCTCTCCCAACCATAAAGAGTCTGTCACTATCATGCAGGAGTTGGAGAATTCGACTGGCATAAATTCACAGGCCCTCGTCGCCTTCCGTCCGGGCATGTCGGGTGCGCGAGAGAAGCTCGGTGGGCGTCGACGCGTGTCACGACCATTTGCAGGAAGACGTCGAATACTCATTGTTTGGCATTTTGGTGTCCACCCTACCTGTCATCTACGGCGAGACGAAACAAAATGCGCTCGGTCGGCTCTTACAGGAAATTGTGGCTCAGTCGGGCGACATTTCTGTCCTGGACTGGGTCGGAAAATCTTCCGAGTTCAAACAGCTGTCTTCCGGCTGACATTGTCGCATACACACCTCCGCCCATCCTCATCGCCATCTCTATCTGAAGATCAGATACAGACATCGGTCTTGTCGCTGCAGGATGTTAATTGTTATGAAGCTGCTTCGTCACTGTATTCCCGCTTGGCAACCTCACCGCTCCTCGTTTCGCAAACCGCAGGCTGCACCTGCCTTGTATTGCATTTCCTGTCACAGAAGTCAGACGGAGACGTAGTCAAGAACAGGTGACACGCCTCACTTATGAAATCAAGGCAGACGGGCTTCAAGACCTGTTGATTACCACAGAAGACAAATTGGTTCCATTCTCGCATTCAAAGTCTACTCGGCAGCCATACTTGCTCGTCCGTCCGTGGAATCGTTATGATCTCGAGCTGCCTGACCTTGCAGACGATGCGCAGAGCGTGAACGGTGGGTCCGAACCAGAATCCTCTTCAGACGAATCGTTCGGCGGGTCTTCTGGAGACAAAGAGCCAGTTGATTCAGAGCCTCGCTCGCGAGCATTGAGCTTGATTGTTCGCCTTGGTCAGCCTTTTGGCGCACTCCTGCTAGCGCAGCAGCGCGGTGGGGAGTATAAGAGGGTGGTGTCAGATCACAATATCAACGCACAAGTCAGGGACCTGACTGCTGTTCATGACATGATGGACGTCAGGACGCCAGAGATATTGTAACTGTATTTTATGATATGTTTTTATCCATACATTGACAGTAGTACCTGCACAGAACAATACCCTGGACTTTCTTTATTATTATTCTATCATATGTATCATATGCTGTCCTGTCTTACAATAGTCAAGCATACTACCATGATTACACACCAGATTATTGCTCAGATCGGATGAGAAGGCGGTGTATGCCCATCTGCTCTTGCAGTCATTATCGATGCTGTTATAATGTATTATGTACTGTTACGCTCAGCGTTCGTGAGAACGGCTAAACGGTCACAAAGAGTCTAAAGCGTACTACACTAGTATGAGTCGTGCAAGTTAAGCAGTATATTGCAGGCCCTGGTCTGCGTAGGTCAAGTTAAAGAGTACAAGCGTAAGAAATAGAGTATATATAAAGGGATTAAAGCGGAGCTTTAATAAATGAATCGGAGATGGAAAGTAAATAGCGAATCAGAAAAAGAAAAGGGAATCGTACGATAGTATGATAGAATGTTCTGTGAATATGATAAGTGATGTCAGAGGTGAATAGAACTGTAACATGTATGTCAAGATAATGGTGATACGTAATGTGAAAGGGTGAAAGGAAAAGAATAGAACTGTAAACATGTACTGTCAAGATATGACTGTCGACGTCACTCTCGTACGTACTCATCCCTTTCTTTTGAATACATAATCACTCTTCGTTACACGCCTCAGGCCTCATACACGTTCTCCTTTGTTTCTCCGTCTCAATCAGCGTATGAATACACCAATCTCAAGTCTTCGTTCTTGTTCCTCGTTTATAGTCCGAGCCTCTCCGATTCTGGTGATGTACCTCATGTCAGCTCCTGCACATTGGCGTGTCGATATTCCGATAGAATCACGATCATCAGCAGTATCAAGTTGTACATGTTTGCCCCATAGGACACTTAGCGGTTTTCGTCCCTATTCTACCCTCAGTGACTCATTCTGCTCACGACTGAGGGTGAGTAAAGTACTTACTTATTAATCGTACTGACAAGCATTAGTTCACTTTGATAGGTATAACATTCTGAATACAGTCATTCCGCTCGCGACCGAGGTTCGCTTTGGGCGTCCTTGTGATACCTGCGACTCGCAACACCAACACAGTCGACTCCATCAAGGAGCACAAGAACATTTGAGATTGATTGCAGAATTTACTCCCTGATGGCTATTTCAAATCTTCAATAGTACTCATCGTGCTTCTTTTCAGAACACCAAACCAGTGCTTTACGTGGGTCAGGGGAATCGATAGGGCCAGTAACGGGTGGTGGTTCAACCACACATTGCATACCTCTTGGGGATAATGAGCAGGCTCCGCAGCTACAACTGAGCACTCACCCCACGCTCTCACCTTGCAGGAACGAGCAGCCTAGACTCGTCCCATCTGGGGCACTTGCAAGTCTTCCATAGTGCTCTGCATAAATAGCAGAACTCTGTCTTGCATCGGCAAGTCATATGGAAACACCCCACTAAGCTCAATCATCTGAGCGCACCCTGGGCAGCGGGACCATCCTGAAGCGCGGCTGAGCGTGAGTACATCCAGAGTCTCTACATCTGGAGTGCAGGAGTGGGTAGATCTTATGTATCTCCCGCGACATTTTCCACATGTTGTCGTCTTGCATTTAGGGGACGGGCATGTGAATATCTTGCTGGAATCTCCGTCGTGTAATGGCCCAAGAAAACGACTGCACGTCGATTTAACACAATAAACACGCTTCAGGGTCCCAAATTCTTGAGCTTTGAGTTCAAACTCGGAGAGGAATGCCTGTGTCAAGTGAGGCCGAACTTGCAGGAGCGGAATGTTCTGATGACAACATCGAGGAGGATACAGGCGTTCGTCGCGCATTGCTGACTGGAATAGATTTGTGATGCAGCCGATATCAAAGAAGTGATTGCATGGTGCCAGAACTTCCTCTCCAAAAATAGGATCCTGACAAATCACACAATTGTGACCAGTTGCCCTGCTTGTGATGTTACGTTCAATTTAAATGTAACACCAGTATCATAACAGGTCTCACCGAGGAGCTCTAGCTATGATAGTTGGCACTTGGCCTGGGTTTGGTGTAGTCTGACCACTCGATATGGGCGTCGAAAGAAAGGAGTCGACCAATTGATTCCATATTTGTATCTCTGATCTGGTTCTAAAAGTCTCGTCAGGGACTCTAGGGGAGCGCTACACTTGCAAGCGTACTTTCCGACGTCGTTGGAGCGCAGCATCTGTCGCATTGCTGTTGCGGGCCTGCTTCTCGGTGTTAGTATTTGTAAATTCCGTGATATGGAACCTTACCCAGGTGTAGGATTTGCTTCCTCATTTCCGTCGGCAAGTCGCTGGGCAAGTGCCAGATCAGCATTGAACTCTGCAAGTTCTCGAGCGTTCTGCATCAACAATCTGAAAGCAACTTCACGATCAGAAAACCCCTTTCCTCGACGCTCTCTGTTATCATATAGGGCTGCAATCTCTCGACATCTGAAAGACCTAGTTCAGCGATCATACGGGTAAGATCTTCCTCATGATTATCTGTTTCTCTTGGATCCGGGATCGGACGTGAACCACGTAGTCGTGAGGGACCAGCGACGTTCATGGGGGCAGGAGAGAAAGAGG